CCCTCCCTCCCTCCCTCCCTCCCTCCTTTTTCCTTTTCCTTTTCCTTTTCCTCTCTTTTTCCTTCCTCTGAGTCCTGGTGGCACAGTGGTTAGAATGCAGTATTGCAGGCTAATTCTTTTGACTGCCATCAGTTCGATCCTGACTGGTTCAGGGTTGACTCAGCCACCCATCCTTCCGAGGTCGGTAAAACGAGGACCCAGATTGTTGGGGGCAAGAGGCTGACTCTGAAAACCGCTCAGAGAGGGCCATGAAGCCCTGTGAAGCGGCATATAAGTCTAAGGGCTCTTGCTAATCCATCCATCTGCCTTCCGTAGGTTCACGTGGTGCTCAAGCTGTGGAAAAGCGGGTTCAGCCTAAACAGCGGCGAGCTGAGGAGCTATCAAGATCCTTCCAACTCTCAGTTCCTGGAGTCCATCCGTCGGGGGTAATAGTTCTGCCCTGGGAAGAATCAGACCCAGAACTGGCACCGGGCCTCATCAGACGCTCAGATCTGACCTTCCTGGGACTCTTGTTTGTCCGGAAAAGGGAATGGGGAGAGTCCCAGGTTGACACCTTTTGGGAAAGGCAGGGAGGGGTCTTCTCCTGACGGGCATTCCATGCTTTTTCTTCCTTGTAGAGAAGTCCCGGCCGAGCTCCGTCGGTTGGCCCGTGGCGGGCAGGTGAACCTGGACCTGGAGGACCACCGCGACGAGGATTTTGTGAGGGCCAGGGGTACCTTCAGGGCTTTCACCGGAGAGGGCCAGAAGCTAGGCAGGTAAGCCAGTCAGGATATTTAGAAACAGGTAGTCCTCGACACACGGCCACAATTGAGCCCAGAATTTCTGTTGTTAAGTGAAACATTTGTTAAGTGAGCTTTGCAGCCTGAGCCAGCCGTGTGCAGCAGCAGCCAAAAAAGCTAATGCAATCCTGGGTTGCATAAACAGATGACACCAAACTGCAGATGACACCAAGCTGGCAGGAGTAGCCAACACCCCAGAAGACAAATTCAGGATCCAAAAAGATCTTGACCAACTCGAACAATGGGCCCTCTCCAACAAAATGAGTTTCAGTGTGGAGAAAAGCAAAGTTTTACATTTAGGCAGGAAAAACCAAAGGCACAAATATAGACTGGGCGAGACCTGGCTCAAAAACAGCAACTGTGAGAGCGACCTTGGAGTCCTGGTGGACGATCACTTGACCATGAGCCAACTGTGTGCGGCGGCAGCCAAAAAAGCTAACACAATCCTGGGCTGCATAAACAGAGGCATAGAATCAAGATCACGCAAAGTATTAGTACCGCTTTATAAAACCCTAGTGAGGCCACACCTGTAATACTGCAGCCAATTTTGGTCACCATATCACAAAAAAGATGTTGAGAGTTTGGAAAAAGTTTAGAGAAGAGCAACTAAGATGATCCAAGGCCTGGAGACCAAAACAT